GGAGCAGGGCAGGTGGATTTCCCGGGAGCAGGGGTGGATTTCCGGGGAGCAGAAGGGCGACGCTTTCTCCTTGCACCATGGTGCTGGGGAGCAGAGAGTAACACACAGATCCTCGAGCAAAAACCCAGCACCAGCCTTGGATGTCGCCTGCAGAAGAGAGGAGACGTTACTGGCTCAGAGGAGAAAGTCGATCCTGCATCAGCACCTCGTCCGCCCTTGGATTGAGGGAAGGGCCTTCAGCCAAACTGAATTCAAGCAAAAGCAATGAGCCAGCACTTCACGCTGTTGCAGGACAAATTGCCACGAGACCCCCAAATCACGTCCGCTGTCCCTCGACGGATTGGCCTGGGCACATCCCCGAGCGTGTGAACCGGCGCCTTTGCATTACACGCTCCTAGCCCCAAACAACCCCCTCTCCAGCCACCTCAGCCGGAGATAAACGCGCGCACGGAGCTGCACCCCGGAGCGAGCGGCGGTCCCTCCGCGCACCACGTAGCCACCCACAGCACGAGCCTTGTCGCGGGGCAGCGCTTCTGCTCGCAGAGGAGCTTTGCAGCATGCGCACACACGTGTCGGATCCTTGCCGGTCATCCGCTCGCCTTCCCGGGTACGCGTCAGCCCCGCTCTGCAGGAAAACGTCGCCTCGGTTCAGCCTCTGAAATAAAAGCACAAGCTAAAATGACAAAATACGTCTGGATGGCACATCGCTTAACTTTTTGCAGCAGCTTGGTTTAGCTAAGCTGTCAAAACGCGACCCGGACTCCGCGGACGGGGCCTGCGTGCTCGCTCACAGCGCCTTGATAACGCGCCGGACCTTCGCCCACCGCCCGGTGCCACCGCCTCGGGGCACCGAAGACCTCGGGGAGTTTCGTCCCCCTAACTGAACACTCGGGCCGCTCTCCGTCATTATCGCGGCTTGGAAAACTCCAAAACATGTATGAAAAAAAGCGAAAAGCAGGCCACAAACCTAGATGAGGTTTTGGGTTATTTTTAAACCCAATCGCAAGAGCACATACACATGCTTTTTAGAAAAGACCTTCTTCTATAGTTTTGGGGGTTTGAGGGTTTTGGATGTAGAGGAGTCACATTTTCTCCAGCAAATGCAAACAATTATTACGGTTTTAAGACAAAGCCCAACAATCTGAAGCTTTTGTATGTGGGAGGCTGTACGGAAAAATCAGCAGTGGGGGAGCAATCACCAGTATTGATACGACAATTTAATACTGACTTTTCTTACCACTAGTTTTCTTACTGGTTACAAACGCCAGAGAAGAAAGCGTTAAGGGGCAGGAAACATTTACCTCCGGCAGCCTCTGCGATGT